CCCTTCTTCGGGACGCAGAAGCGATCTGGCGACAGGTAAGTCGCCAGGATCACTTCTGTTGTAAAGCCGACAGTCGGCTCTACAAGTTTAAACAGAGTCCCGGCGGCAAAAGTCGCCGGGAGTCTGTTTAAACAGCCCCGATGCTGGCGACGTACACTGTACGTCGTCAGTCACGAAGGGGTTAATAAAAAAGAAGGCACGCAGCTAGGGCTGTACATACACACTGTAGAACACACGCATGTAACAAGTATATGTAAACAAAATCATTTAACAAATACGAGCTAGAGTACTGATGTTAAACCACAATCATTTAACAAATACGAGCTAGAGTACTGATGTTAAACCACAGTCTTCTGCCCCCAAGTATTCCACGGGTTAACATGTTTCAGAGGCAATGCCCCCTTCATCAGAACCTAGGTTCTGATGAAGGGGGCATTGCCTCTGAAACATGTTAAACTCCAGCTCGTCTTTGTACGTGATTTCGTTTACCCATCCTTGTTACATGTCTGTGTTCTACAGTTGTTTGTATGTACAGCCCTAGCTGTGTGCCTTCTTTTTATTAAATACTGTTTTACACTATGGAGGCGCTCCTTTTTGCTTTATACAAACTTTTACAAACTTACAACCCACCAAAGCAGTTTCCAACTTTTTACTGAAAGATATAAAAATGTAATTTGTCATTCACGTACTCCTTTACCAATTTACCACAGGTTACCCTGAGAGCATTGTATGAGCATTTACCATGATCTTAAGACAGATAGCCTCTGCAGTCCTTTATATAACCATTGGCTCTATCTGCTGTTGATATAGCTATATGCCATGTAGAAACACTTTACAATTACATTGTCTATGTTACTGATGGAAGTGGAAATAAGTTTACAGATTATACCATTCAGATGAAGAATTACCTGAATTTTCCCAAGCTCTCCTGTGGTCTCCATCCTACTTGCAACATTCACAGTATTCCCCCAGATGTCGTACTGAGGTTTCCTAGCTCCAATGACTCCAGCAATAACAGGTCCATGGTTTATACCTAAAATATGCAATAGGTCATATTAACATAATCTGGAGCAGCCTTTCTCAACCAAGGTTCCTAGCATGTTGTGAAGAATGATCCCCTTCTCTCTTCTCACTATCTTGAAGGCCACAGACCAACACTTAACCTAGCATTTACGGAAATGACCAGTGTGTGACATAAGTCACAACACCTTTATTAGAATATGACACAATAAAAGGGATACAGTCAGATAAAGGATAAATACCCATGTTTATGTCTCCACTGTTGCCAACTGGAGCATCAGTGGATACATGCAAAAACACATGGCTAATTAAATTGGCCAATGTATAACATTTCCATTGAATGTGCAAGTCTATAATGAAATTCTAGCAGCTATTATATCCTTATGAGTAATGTATAATTTGCAACATACCAACACGTAGGCGGAAATTATTGAAGGAGTGCCTATTGATCCCATCTAGCTTCTGCATTAAAGCCATAGCAAATTCAACAGTGATTCCTATTTGAGCATTCTGCTTTTCTTGGTCCTAGAAGAAAGAGTAATAAACCGTAGTTTCACTATCATGCAATCGATGTCCAAGTAGCAGTGCCCCAGTTAGATAGTCTATGATTTACTTTGATCATCAAGTGTTAGGTCGGTTTTAACAGCTGAACAGGATTGGCTGCAGCGTGCCAAGTTAGATAATTTAATAGCAGCACCATTTTTCACGTTGCAACTCACAGTTGATTCAGCAAGCCAGTTACATCACACTCTGTCCAGCCACATCCACAAAGCTTTTTAAAAAAGGTGGCCACAAGTTCTCTGCCTCCTGTACGTATTTACATAAAATCTGCAATTGACAAAAAACATGGAGTATTCCCTAGGTGTATACGAAAGTCGAAATCCGTTTTGTTTTTTTACTTCCTAATCTGCATACTCGTTCCAGGTCAGTGACACACTAAAGGCAGTGGAACAGGATAACAGCCAGTCAACTAGAATGTTAGTTACATAATTCTATTACATAATTCTCGAATTACAGATATGTAAAGTAACATAATATTAAAATTAGGATTATACACAGTATATGCAGTAGAAATATATGTTATAGTAATATTGTATGATGTAAAAAATCATGGTAACCATCTCAATTCTGTAGGATCTCTGCTTTCATAAAATATATTATGTTGGAGGTCATTAATCAAATGTGAAGTACGCACTATGGGGGGAATTTATCAAAACTGGAGCAGACAAATTCTAGAGCAGCTGCGCATGGTACCAAATCTGCGTCTCTCTTCAGTTTGTTCAGTTAAGATTTGAAAATGAAAGAGAGATGCTGATTGGTTGCCATGCACAGCTGCTCCAGAATTGGTCTGCTACAGTTTTGATAAATTCCCCTCTATTTACCCTTACATACAGGGGTACAGGTACCCTTAAAAACAAGATCACACATGGACTCGTACATACACACATACATATGCAGAATCACATACATACACGCAATAGATTGAACTTGATGGACCTGTGTCTTCATTCAACCGCAAATACTATGTAACTATATGCTTACTTAGTGCAAGTGTAAAACATTAACTAGAAACCAGCCATGTAAGGTCCAAATGTTTGCATCACAATCTCCACACATAAGTGGATTTACAAACGTTAATTCAACCTTTAGTCTGAATCAGCTAATTACATTCCAGGTGCATCAAAACAAAAGATGTACAAAGTCTAAAGGTGGCCATACACTTTACAATCATCGCAAGACCTTAGTCTTGCGATGGTTGTAAAGTAATTTAAAAAACGTACGATCTGCCCATCTTGGACAGGCAGATTGTACTTGCAATCATCGCAAGCCCGCCCCCTTGAGGGGCGGGCTTCCCATGACTGCAATGCTGAACGGGCAGTGTGCGCGTGCGCACACCGGCCCATTCGGCATTTGTCTCCCGAGAACCGTTGAAACCAGCCGAAAATCGTAAGATTTTCGGCTGGTTTTCTAGCATGCTCCTTAGACAAAAGACGTGCGACCGTACAGTAGAAACGGTCGCACGTCTTCATTCACACTGCTTGATTCTCGTACGAGAATCGTGCAGTGTATGGGCACCTTTATAGTTTAGTATCTTACTGTAGCAGCTTGAGTAGAAAAAACTGTCCCCTGCCAGCAGCTGAAGAGTAGGACCCTTGCTATCTCTGGGGAAGTATTGCAGAGATCTGACATGCCACCCTAAGAATCAGACTTATAGCATGGCAATCAGCAAAAGTAATGCCCCCTGCTTACTGAAGAGCTTTGGATCTCAGCAGAGGATGTGTCAGACCTCTGCAAATAGGTCACTGCTTCCGCACAGGTTCCCATTCTGCAGCGTGCTGACAGGGGACAGTCATTTCCACTCGGACTGTGGCTGCTTTTTAAAGAAAGCAAACTGTATGTCTATTGTTTTGATGCACCTGGAATGTATTTAGTTAAATTAAACTGAGAGTTCAATTGAGTTTTAAATATTCAGAGCAGTATTACCTGGTTACTTTCTTGCCCAGGAGTTACAATGAGTCCAGTTGCTGCCATGTAGGTACTGCCAATTGTCTTGATTTTTTCCACTGCGCTGAATTTTGGTTTCATTAAAAGCTATCAAAAAAAATTGTGTTAGAAAAAAATAATTTCAATGGTTGTAAACTAACAATAAGATAACACAAGACATACCTCATCAAAATCAGAGATGATCTCGTTCAAAAGCCGCAGACATTCCAGACCCTCTTTGTTGACATCACACTCTGTGTAGAAGACCTTAAACTCTGGTACTGATGCAAACATTACACAGACACAGTCATACGACTGATGATACAAATCCTGTCAAACAAGAAGATAGCTCTTTTACCATTTACAGGATTTAGAACTTAATAATTAAAATAAGAAAAGATCTCTTTAATAGCGCACTGCAATCCTGTCTGATCTGCAGCAGCCAATCCTATCACAAAACACCATCGTCTAACTAATATAACTTGTATGTGTACTGGTAGCTATGTGTTGTTACACTTAGCACACATTCTATTGTATATGTCACAGGTTCTTTTGAAGGACACGTTTTGAAGTAGTATTATTTCACATATTTAAAATATGTTAAAGAGGAACTGAAATGTAGAAGGTGTGCCAAAAAAAGCAGACAGAGGGCAGAGGACTAGTCATTGGTATTTCCTGTGGTTGAGGCTGTATGGGGCTGTAGGCACAGGAATGCCTATGCACACTCACATGCCAGAAAAGTACACTGCTATTTTTCAGGACCTTTTGGGGACACTCCAATCAGCTCCCCTCTTTGCTGCATTTCACCCCTAGTAGAGCTAACAAGGATAATTTTCTACTGTTGATTGTTTCACTTGGCATACTGAGATGTCAGAGAGCCTAGTCTCGCCTGCTAGAAGAGCAATAGGTATACTGAAATTGCACCTCCCATTTAAAACTAGTGACAAGTAAAAGAGTTCTGGAAAACCACTGTATAAATGTTTTTTTTTTATAAAAGTGACATCAGCATGGGTCACATTTTTAAATATAAACTTGTTTCCTTAAAACACCCTCTGGTGACGTTTATGAAGGCCATGTAGGCTTGTGTCTTTTTTGGTTAAGTCCGTGTGCCTGTTAGTTGATAACACCCCATACCAAACCCATCCCATCCTACTGGTGCTTCTCCCTACACCTTTAAATAGCTTTTTGCTTCATGCAGACTAAATAGCTTATATATTTTGAACATCAGTATGTATATTGAGAAACACCAGGAAGAGAATCTAGCTTACAAACCAAAACATATTCTGGCTGGTTCCTCATAAACCTATCACCTGTAGTATAAAGCAGATCAGCCATGCACATCTTAATTCCACTGGATGTCCATAACAATGCCTCTTTTGTAAAAGAATGCAAGCTTTGCACAGTCCCCACCTCATTTATTTTGTTGTTGACAATAAAATAGGCAGCCACATGGGCAGGAAGTACATTTTCCAATAGAAGCCGGTTCAGATTTTCCATGGTTTCAATTTCTTCATCTTCTTTCCTAAACTTATTTTTCCATAAACAGTCTAATCTGGAGTAATAGTCCACCTTAACAACACAATAAAGGGGATAGCACTACATTAAGCTTCGTGTTTGCATATCACAGAAATAAAAAAATCATAATACAAGATACATACAGAAATACTTACAATACGCGTACACACACACAAACACACAAATATGAAACTTTATCTTTATGCATTAATATCAAAGCTAAACTCCAGGAATTAAACAAAAAGCACCCCTGCAGTTGGGGCCCCCTACATTGCAAGGATTAAATGCTCTAAATCTAGGGAACAGGAATAAGCTGCTCTAGCAGGCTTCGGGAGCTCACCTCTTTTTTTCTGACGCTCTGGGTTGTGGGTGGGCCCTCACGTACAGTGCAAGGATATTATTACTGCATTGCACTTTATGTACATGACTCAGCACTACTCACATTATTTATCTATGATCACCCACATATGAGGAACTTTACACAAAACTGTCCACTGATGTAGCATTGGTAACATTTTTACAAACAGAAGCCACACTCTATAGATCTTCTAACTTGAATCCACACTTTATTACTTTGCCTATGACAGATACAACATACAGAAGCTCCCCAGATCCTCTCACGCATTTAACCTGCCAGGGCTTAATCATAGAGATTCTTGATCTATATATTTAAGCCTTGGAAGGCTAAACGTTTGAGAGGATCTGGCGCGTCTGTATGGTGTATCTGTTATCTGCATAGTAATAAAGTGTGAATTCAAGTTAGAAGATGTATAAAAGTGCGGCTTCTGTCTGTACCAGTGTTACTACTGGTGAAAGCACATCTCTTCTTTGCCAGCACCTGAGAGACCATCATTGTGGGAGTTCACACATGGAATTGGAGAGGTGAGTGATTGTGAAGTGCTGTCGATTGTTGATGTTGGCAATTTGTCTTTACAGTTCCTGCTACTTAACTGCAGGACCTTGGCCATCTCCTCATCATACAGCTCACAATTTTCATACAGTTATGAGTACTAAGAGGATTGCCCATTGTAGGTCTATATATTATATAGGATGTTTCCTAATTCACAGCAACTATGAAAGATTAAGATTTCTTGAGGAAAGATAGTTATTACCATGGGGGATGTAAAGATAAGTATAGCCTGCTCCAATCACCCAAAAAGCAACACAAATTAATAGTTTTAGTTTTAGGTGCTGCTATTACGGTTTATTGTAGATCCCTTTCAGAACACAAATTATGACGTAAAAACACTCTTTTTAAGCACACTGGGAGGAATTGATCAAAACTGGAGCAGAAGAATGTGGAGCAGTTGCCTATGGAAACCAATCAGTTTATTTCTTCAGTTTGTTCAGTTAAGGTTTGAAAATGAAAGGTGGATGCTGATTGGTTGCAATGGGCCATGGCTCCAGGTTTGGTCTGCTCCAGTATTGATTTATTCCCCTCACTGTATTCTAAGTTGATGCTACATTTGCACTGTGCACAAATATTGTGTAGTAAAGCAGTAAAGCTGAAACACAGCTCAAACAGATGTATGCTCTTAGTTTCTAACTGTTACTAGAAATTTACAACAAGGGATCTGAAAGTTGCTAAAAAGTCACCTGCCACACTTTCTGCTGGTTTGCAAAAAACAATTGCATTGTTTTTTATGATGCACCCTACCATTTGTATAGCCCATCAGCACAGTAATGAAGGCCTCTCGGGCTATCAATACGACATACAGCCCCTAAGTTATTGCAATAAATACCAATTTGATTAATATATACTTTAGGTTTACACAGAATTCCTGATTTCTTACCTGCCTTGCCAATAACACTAATATGAGGAAGAATAATGACAGATAGAAACAGGATATCCTTTGCAGGTCTTCCATAATGCCCACAAAACTACAATAACAAAAAGACAATAACAGTTACAACGGGCAAAATAATTTTTTTTCCTAATTCCTCCTTGTGTTAAAATGCTCAGTAAAAATTATACTGAATTATTGAGCAACTTCAGAGAAGGAAAGGAAGGCACACAAGTGAGAATAAGATTTGTTTGAAGAACAGTTATCCCTCTAAAAATACAGAAACTGCCAATGACCATATTGGTGTACCCTGTGTACACCTTCAAAATGACCCACTCCCTAAGGTAAATTATAATCCTGAACTTCACTCTCCCTTTCTTATTAAAGCCGTGTAACTCTGAGTAAAAGTAAATCATCCACAGGAGTTATCAGCTAAACCTTGTTTATGTAAATCCAGAATCCAGGACGAAGTTCAGAATCACTATCTGGTGCACCTTATGGAACGGATCTGTATATGTACTGTTTTAATCAGTCCTCTCTAGTGCCGACAGGTGTTCATGGAGAAGGACTTTGGTTATAGTAGTGTTCTGTCAGTATATCTTTCTCTCTCTCTTCCATTTTTTGATGAATCTGGAGCTAAAATGTGATGAGGAAATTGTAACTTTGTCTAAAGCATGTTCATTGGATGTATTTGTGCAATCTCTGCAGCCAGCAATTAACTTGAAGGTGAACCTGTTACTGAAAGTGACTCTGTTATTTACATGTTATTGGAAACAGGCATGCTTGAAAAATAAGCAAGTCAATACCTACCCTTCCTGCTGCCTGCACTGCAAGAACACCCAAAATCTTCATGTGAACTCCACAGGAAAATGGACACTTCGAGGCGTGTCAATCTCCTGGGTCCCCCTCGTAGGTCTCACAGGTTCCCCCTGCTGACCTTTACATCATTAAAAGATACATCAGTCATCTTGGTAATCTATTTATTTGTGTAGCTAGCATTACTAGTGCCAACAATCTGAGCTCTTATACCATCTGCTTATACTGCCATCCATCTAAATACAGGTTAACACTGGTAATCATTGAAGAGCTATTGTGGTGAGTGTGAGATGTTGAATGTTTCTTTTTTCCACCGTATGGCTAAGTAGTAGTTATGAGATGTCTCTCAGTGATCTACTAAATATTAATCACATTTGGTAGGTGCTGAGAAAGAGATTTCATTAATCACTTTAAATTAAGAAAATATATAAACTCGGGCTTACAGACTCCTTTTTTCAATAGATTACAAGAACAAGTATATAACCTGCTGAATGAACGGTGCTACTTCCCATAATGTCTCAAAACATTTTCCTCACCAAAGCAAAATTTTGGTAAGTCAACTCTGAGAAGATCTCCCTTTTCTGCAACCTGTATCGTGTCACCATATCAGAAAATACTATCCATCCTTATTTACTTTAATTAGGTCACCTTCTAAGATTCAAAAACAAGCATTATTTTAGATTGCCACCCCTCCTTATACAAGAATTAACCATAAATGAATACTGGAATTATAAAGGCCATGATGTTCCAAAATGTCTAACTATATTGCTTTTTAAAAGCTTTATATGATATAGACCTTAAGTTCTCCAATTGTCTAGTCTATTAATCTCATACATGCACTGGATTACATATAAAACACTAATACTGTGCAATTAATATAATGCATAGTAAGAATTACTTTTTTTTCTGTGACACTGGAGAGTCCTCTGTTGCAGAGGAGCATTTACACTCTTACCTGTTGCTGGGTGGTAAAGCACTTCTGAACAAGGCAGAATGCGTATGAAATATGATGACATTGTATACTATGAAGGCAGAAGACAGAAGGAGCATCTTGATCTCGAAGCTCATTCTCAGGAACACCGAGCATGCAATAAAACCCAAAATGCAGCAGTATATGTAATACTAAAAACAAAAAGATAAAATCTATTCACATTTCTGGTTTTTACAAGGGTAATACAAGCAGTGATAAACATATAAAGTCAACATGTCATGCAAGTGTAGAAAATGTATACTAATGCACACAAATGTAATTGTGATATATGCTTCTAACAATACACAAACCAGCATAGTGGAAAGCAGGCTTAAGGTATATCTATATAAAAAGTGAGTGAACACAAATTTAAAAAATGTTGCTAGGAAATAGGATTTTTGTACTCATCATAAAATGTTGATCTCTGAGTCGATCAAGAGACACAGCCAGAGCCATAGCTCTTTACCATTATAGAGAAACTAGAAATACAGATTCATGACATGCTATTATTGTTTCACTTATATAAAGCTTTGAAATAACTTACTGGTATGCTTTGACAACTGTCCATCTCTAAGCTTGAGCCATTGCATTTCTGGAGAGTTTTGTCTAAAGGCTGAAAGAACAAACATACATATTACTTATTTATTAGTGCACATTTAACAATACATAATGCATACAGATGACATTAAAAGGGCTTACCAAATTAAGAATAGCGATTACTAGGAGCGCTGCTATTGTCAACATTGCCAGTAAAACCCTCACTAGAGGTTTAGTCTCTACCATTTCTGCTATAGAGCATAGGGACCGTGACATAGGAGAACTTTCCCCACAGAAACGCTGGAAAACACACACAATCTGTTATTAATATTGGATACATATCAACCAACAGCTGTCTGCCAAACAGATTTACAAAAACTGGAGCAAAGAAAAACTAGCATGATTGTCCGCAGCAACCTGTCAAGTCTGGCTGTTGTGCTCCAGGCTTTTGTAAGGCAGTTCAACTGACAGCTTCATGGATAATCAGTTAGCAAATTGGGGTGCATACTTACCACACATTTGTCTGCATAGCAAATAAGCAACACGCAAAGCATGATCAAGGACACCGCAGCAAATGAAACACCTAAGTTTACACTCCTGCAAGAGAGAACAAATTACAATATTGTATTAAACGTACTCGTTGCTTACATTTTGGAAATCTGTATCCCAATCTAGAGACTGAAACTCTATTCCATTCCATAAACTAAACAGCTGGCCACATTATAGTTCGGTCAAAAAAAGGAGAACACCCAATATTCTCTAAAAACTTGAAACTGACAAAAGCAATTGGCACCCATCATTGATAATTCCATATTTAATAAACATCAGACTTTGCTTTTGACTTTTGATTTAATAGAATATTTTAAAGTATAAAGCAAATTATATTGTCATTAAAAATGCAAACAAAAAAGGATTGGGATCCTTGACCTAATATTTAGTTGCACATCCTTTACAGGCAATCACTGCAAACAAGCAATTTCTGTAGCTCTCAATGAGACCTCTGCACCATCAAGTTGTTTGGCCCACTCTTCTTGAACCAACTGCTCCAGCTATCCCGGGTTTGAAGGGTGCCTTCTCCGGACTGGTTATTTTAGCTCTTCCATCCATAGATGTTCAATAGGATTCAGAGCAGGGCTTATAGAAGGCCATTTCAGAATAGTCCAATGTTTTGTTAGTCATTCTTGGCTTTTAGCAGTGTGTTTTGGGTTACTGTCCTGTTAGAGGACCCAAGACCTGCAAATAAGACAGAGCTTTCTGACACAGAGTTTCATTTTTCTAAAGAATTCCTTGATAGATCTGAAATTTCACTGTGCCTTGCACAAATGTAGGACACCCCACGCCAGGTGCACCAAAGCAGCCCTAAAACAAAACCAAGCCACCTTCGTGTTTCACATGGTACATAGGTACATGTTCCTTTCTTTGACAGCTTAATATTTTCATCTGTAAACATAGATCTGATGTGGCATGCCAAAAAGCTGCACTGTTTCATCTGTCCAAAGGATATTCTCCCGGAAGTATGGTTGCTCGTCAATATGCATTTTAGCAAATTCCTGTCTGGCTTTTTTATATTTTTCTTTCAACAGCAGGGTCCTCCTGGGTATTCTTTGTTTGAGATCACCATCACTCAAAAAGTGATGGATGGTGGGATCAGACACTTATCTGCCCTGACCTTGGAGTTCAGCTTGTATCACTTTGGAAGTTTTCCTTGGCTTTGTCTGCCATTCACACGATTCTGTTAAATCAGGGGTCAATTATCCTCTTGTGACCATGTCCAGGGAGGTTGACTACACTCCCATAGGCCTTACACATCTTAATAATATTTGGAATAATATTTAATTGTAGTCACACGAACATCACGCTGCTTGGAGATGGTCACACAGGCTTTACGTTTGACATGCTATTTTATTTTTTCATTCTGATCTCCTCAGAAAACTCTTTCCTTTGCTTTCTTAGCTCAATGTTCAGTGTGGTGCACACAATCATATCCAACAGCAGAGTGAGTATTTTTTTAGGCTGACTGATGACAAGATTGAAGACATGTGTGATACGAATTACAGAAAACAGTCTAAAATATCACTATGATCCAAATATGAATAATCTTTTATTGGGGTGCCATCAAATCTGTCCAGGCCATTTTAGAATATCGGAGTACAATAAGCAATAATTGATCTGTTTTCACACAGGCTGTGAGCCTTGAGCCACCAACAAGGGTGAGCACAATCTGGCTGCCCCCTGGGCACTGGTATTGGGTTGCAGGTTCATAAATAAAAACATTACCTGTGGCCAATAGTTTTTGAAGTCATAGTTTGCAGATAGGTCTCGGAGAGTGCAGAACCTAGCTGTGCTGACTGCCAGGGGTGCATGAATCAGAAGATTGGCTGAACAGAATTAGAAATTGTTAAATTCTTTAGCAGGTAACACAGTGCACATATAAACTGTATATGTCAACCTTGTACTGTATTTAACAGGTTTCATGGAGTTCAACTTTATGTGCCATATTATCTCTGCAGAAATGCAAGATGACTTTGTGATATCTGCCAAAAAAATTCAACTCCGTTTACATTCCCTCTAATTTGCACCTGGAAACATAGTGAATTGCTGGCTTAGCTATAGTGCAAACAAATGGGGCAATTTACTGATACTGCAAAATGACTGGCCAACATACTGTACTTATTTAAATTAAACCCAAGAAATAACATGTGAAAGGACAGAAACATTTTTCTGTGCAGTGTAATCAGATTCCTTTTAATTCATATTTTAACTCAAGATATTAAATGAGGTGCAGTTGTCGATATTATAACTTCAGCTACAGCAACCCAACATGAAAGCAAACACATCCAACACAACCACTTGACTAACTGTGGAAGCGAGGTGTGAACTAATTTGAATGCAAGATGAAAGATAGCATTATAGCTGAATAAAATTATTTTTTTTATATGAGTAGAATATGTACCAACCTTGGCATGACCAAAATTTGGATCAAGAATATGCACAAGAACACTACACTGGCACACAAGAAATAATTCCGGATCTTAGGTATTCTGAGGGTGCGGTACTGAAAAACAAAAAACAATTCAGCTAAAACATTTAAAAAGGGAAAAATTGTTACCTGCCGCAACTAACAAAGAAGAACTCCAGGAATTTAGAAAAACATCCCCCGGCAGTGGGGCTACCCCCGCATTGCAAGGGTTAAATGCTGATTTTGTCTAGGGGGCTAAAATAAAGCAGCTATACCCACGTGATCCTTAGTTCCATGGCAGTTGGAACTCACTTGTCTCCCCCTTCACTCCAGCTTTTGAATATCCCTCGGCATCCTCACGTCTAATGCAAGATAATGGACCTGAAGTAGACATGACAATAGCAGTGGTTCTTTGACTGCCAGAGCCCAGGGAAGAAGAGACTGTGTGGACTGGTCTAGCAGCCCAGCAGGACCAGGGATCCGGTAAGTATATATGCTCTAATTGACCCCTAGATAAAACAATGATGTAACCCTTGTAGTAAGGGGGTAGCCTCACTGCAAAGGTAAGTTTTTTTTTACATTCCTGGAGTTCTTCTTTAACAGATAAACCCACAAAGCTATACTTAAGATAGTTTTACATGCTGCAGGTACATTTTGATTTTAAAGTTAAGGCAAGATGGAAATTAAATAGAAAGTAATATTTACCTCTCTTTCCAGGCCATCAGCAGTGAAAAAGAACAGGAAGGCATAAAAGTCATCTGATTTACCAAACCACGGTCTAAAAAAAGGTAAACAATCTGCTTTACTTCAGCTGTTTAAAACCATTTCTTATTATACAGCTAGACCATAAAAAAATTAAATATGAAGGTCATTGCTATGACTCAGTCTGATGCTGCTGTGTTTTGAATACAACAATTTTACTTTGTATTTATAAATGATTCGCTATGTTAGTCATGTAAAACTTGTGATGTGAAAGTAATTACCCCTACAAGCTATCAAAACATTTCCAGGAATGTCAACTTATGGTGCCAAATTCAATGCCCCACCCAAAAAATTACATGTTTTATGGGGCTTATATAGTGATATATAAGTTAAAATTATGGTTTAGAGAGCTATGTTTTAGGGTTAACGGGAACCTGTGCTATGCCCATTCTGAACAAACATAATACAAACATCACCAAAGTCACCCAGAAAGGATCACCCATCTTATTCTGAGAGAGACCTTGGGGTATTAAATGCTTGTTGCCCAGTATCTGTGATTTCAACATGTTCATGTTACAGCTGGCCATTTTATGGGGGTAACCAATGACAAGATACATAGTTGAAACATTCACAATAGAAGGATTAATGTTGAAACATTTTATTCACTAGAACACTTTGCAGTCTTTTAAATATATTATGATCATGAATGTTAATACATTCAGTTTTACCATAAAATAGGTTCTTTGGGAGGCAGATGTTATTCCAAACAGTCAACCAAGGTCTAATGTCATAATGCGCTTTTTACTGTTGAAAATATATACTAGTTACATAGTATTTGAGGTTGAATAAAGACATATGTTCATCAAGTCCAATCTGTTTGTGTATGTGTGTATGGTCCTATTGGTGTGTAGTATGTATAGGTCCCTGTGTGTTCTCAATCTTAGGAGTACTTGTACCCCTGTATATTAGGGTCCATGAGGAAATCGTCCAATCGCCTCTTGAATGATTCCACACTCTCAGCCGAAATCACAGTATGTGGCAGCGAGTTCCAGACCTTGACTGATCTGAGAAGAAACCCCTTCGCCCCTTGTGCTGAAATTTTTTCTTCACCAATTTTAAGTGGTGGCCTCTTGTCCTTGTCATCAAGTTAATTGTAACTCTACTAGCCTTGTTTACCGCAGCCTGACACTGCAAGCTATTATTCAGCCTGTGATCTAAAATGACCCCCAAATCTGTTTCCCTTTCGGACTTCCCCAGGGGAGCTCCCATTAGTGTGTAATCCGTTTTCTTGTTTTTAACCCCAAAGTGCACAACTCTACATTTATCTACATTAAACCTCATCTGCCATGTAGTTGCCCACTCCCCTATTTTATCCAGATCCCTCTGCAATGTTATAGCATCTGATTCAGTGACTATTCCCCTCCCGATTTTGGTATCATCAGCTGTTTACAGTAGCACTTCACTAATCACTCCAAGCTAAAAGTTATAATCAAAAAAAAGGAAACAACCTAAATTAATAGAAAAAAAGTAGCCCAGGTATTGACAACTGAAGAACTGTCAATCAGTTGTTGGGGACAGATATGCAGTTCAAAGAACTCAAACTTAGTTAAAGTAGGTGTAAACCCAACCACTAAGAATCTCATGTAAACATGATAGCATCACTTGCAAATCCTCTGTCCCTGTTTCCCACCATCTCCTGCCTAAAAAATAAAAAACAACACATGCAGCCTGTTATCAGTTATGCATGAGGCCAAGGTAGGATGTAAGGAGGCTGGTTAACAGAGCTCTCCCTATGTAGTTTGTGAGCAGCACTACCAATGCTAATTGATAATTACATTCATTGGTATATTTTCATTTGCATTAGTGTTCCAAGATTTCCAGTTGCTGTCATCATGGAATATGCTACATACTGCTCCAGAGATTATGATATGAACATGGTGAATTCACCAGCAATGCATGTAAATGAAGGATGTCGTAAGTGGCAGCTTATGTGGATCAAACTAAGAAATACTTGACCGTACTTGACGGAACTGAGCCCATCAATTGTGTTCAGCATTCTGTCATGGAGTTCTTCCTCCTGATTCCTTTTCTGTGACACAGTCCTAAATGTAATAATAATGAAGAGGATGACGATAATAATAAAAATAATGATAACACATTTTTTTCTTTGTTTTGTTTACTGTGGGTAAGAACTAGAATCGGGTTCGTATTTTTACTACTCGGTCCCCATTGGTTAGATTCCCCTCCTGTGTGATCACCTGGACAGGAAGTGAGATAAAAATGTGTCCAATAGCCCTGCACAAAAAGCACCACTTGGTCAAACAGGGTAGTGCACGGTGGGACGATTAAACATACTTAACAGGGGGGGGGGGGGGGGCCGCAAAAGTTAAAAAAAGAAGGAAAAAAAGATGAGAGAAAAAGAAAAGAGATATCTCCACCGGGAGGGGGAAGCACCATTCAAAAGGAGAGGTAAGAGAATTAAAGATGCAGTACAGCAGGATTGAAACCACCCTAACAAAGACAAGCAATCCCTGATTTTTTAATCACTGCAGTTGAAACGGATCTTCAATGTAATCCCAATAACTACTACTGGTGCATGGCCAACTTTGCACAGTTAAAAGAACTCGCCTTATGCCCTATGACTGTGCAAAATGTCAAAATGTCACCGTGGTAGAGGCATCACAGGTTCTTTCCTGTCAAAGCCATCTGCAATTAAGGCCATTTGCTCCAGATTCTTCCATTTATTTTCAAATTTGCACTCAAAATATGTAAGGGTGAAACATTTATCCTATTTTAAACATTTTCTTACTTGTACATATACTCTATAGCTCTGAATTAAATCCCACAGAAAGACACAAAAATCAGTTTTATTTACCTTTCTGTGTTAGAATGCCGCCCCATTCCTTGCATGGGGATTTCCTACAGGGAAAAAAGTTAATACAATTTAGGCAACATAAACAGTATCTGTTCTGCCAATCTCCGTCTTAAATTCTTTTAGAGCAAATATGACAACGGCTGCTAATTCAAATATTGAAAGTGGTTAATATAAATTAATCTATTAACAGTTTTCTCTAGAATATATGGTTGATTTCTGTCAGCTATAAAAATTTACAACCTGTATTTTTGTAGGTGTTTGAAAAGTTTCAAATGACAGTGTTTACTCCCTTTGGTCTCTTAAAGCGCAACTGAAAGGCAAAGCCTTTTTTTTACGTTTTGGATAGGGTGGAGAGTGATTAGAACATCTATCTGGTTGTTTGCTTTCTGTGTCCCTATTAGGGAGATTTGCCCTCTCCATTTGTCATGGTGACATTATCACTGAAAGAAAATCCAAAATTCTGGGCTTACTTCAGAAAGGGAATAGTAGTTTTTGTGACCCTGCTGACCACCAGGAAATTCCCTCTCTATGGAGGGATTTCCTCTTACCTTCTTTTGTGGCTATCAGGCAAAAAGTTAAGGGAAATCTTCCCAATGGGACACATGGTAAAAAGAAAAGCAGACAGGGGTTTATAACTCTCCCTTACTCTATCCAAAAAAAGTATTTGCTTCAGTTCTACTCATTTCATTAAAAGAAAATGAGTAAAAAGCCTGAAAAAATTAAAAACTAATTTAGCCACCCGATCTAGGGACTTATAAGGTGCAATATAGATTTGACATTTCAATGACTTTCCACTGTAATTCTGCACCTTTGGTCATTTGAAACTATAAATAAAATTGTGCGAGGCCGACTGTTTCTATTAAAAGTTGAAGGAAAGCTACAAAGTTGCTTTAGTGTATTGCCAGCATTAGAAAATGCTCCATATAAAGAATCAGCTACAAGATTCCATGCCCCCCAGCCAGGTTGCCAATCAACCAGTAGGAAGAGACGAGAAAGGTTGTTAATGTACAAGGCAAATGGTTTATAAACGGGGTCACTTTAACTATGTTTTACCCTGTTTGTCACCCAACGCTAGAAAGTAGGCGTTCTTACAATTTTGGCTTTATTCTCGCTCATAAAAAATAAGTTCAACTCCAGCAGGAAGAGTGGGGAATCAGCAAGTGTGCAGGAAAACAATTTCACAGAAACCCTGGCAAGGGTAAATATATTACCTATTACTCATAACTGAAATGCAATCCATTCAAATATATACAATAACATATGAATAGATTAATATGCCTCGTGAAATATTTGCTCTCACAAGTTACTGTAAGAGAACAGATTATGTATTTATGTAAAGATAACACTTCCTCTATCATATTATTCACTATTGTTCACTGTGACTCAACACTGTCTGTGCTATGACCCACATATTCCTTCAGATAGTGTCACCAGCTATGTAGAGGATTTACCGAAGAAACATCCTCTGAATACACTCCACTCACAGCTATAACCTTGTGAGCAGAAAGGAGAGGGAACATCTTCTGAATACTGACAGACAGCAGTAAAACATGATAGAGGATCAGACCATTTTACATTCTATTCACTGTTACATAAGTAGTAAACAAATGTTTTGACAGAGTAGAGCAGGGGTAGACAACCTTGGCACTGCCTCTGCTTCTGGGAGTGACCACAAGCACAAATAGACTCTTAACCATGCTACAAAAAAAAAGTTTTGCCTGTATATATACACTTTAAATGCAACAGGGCCAACTGTTGCATCGCATCCTAGAATTCCACTAGAAGTGAAGCAAAACTGCACTGTACCTTAAAATATTTACAGTACCCATATACCAAAATGTCAGGAACTATTATTGGCTAATAATTGGTAAATGTTGGCATTGGTAATCTTGCCATTACCATAAAAAGGTCCACATGTCATCGAGGGCCAATAGCTCCCATAAGTGTCCCTAACACTAAGGCAGTCTTCTGCTGCCATAACTTATTTCCCTTTTTTCTAGCAAAGTCTTTTGTGTACAATGCCTGCAGTGCACATACTGCAGTGTACGCTCTTGGCATGAATGGTGCTGAATGCTGAGATAATGTAATTGCAGCTTATGCCTTAACACATGACCATACCCGACACTAGATAACAACATTGAACCCAACTCTTTATTTTACCCTAACCCCTAAAGTGAGTCCTTAACACTTTTTCCTCCAACACTTAACCCCCCCCCACTAAAATCTTAACCCTGTAGTCCCTGCCCCCAACACTAACAACTGCTTTACTAAGCCCTTACACTAAAACTATACCCCCTGTTCAGTATACACACCTAATACTGCGCGGGAAGCTTTCATGTCAAAAGGTTTGCAACTATGCCTTCAAAAGATACTGTTGGCGAGCTGTGAGAGCTGATGACTAATGGCCACATGTGGGTTAGGGAAATATTTTATAGTTGCCACTGGCTCAACAAATCCATAGTGACTTTTTGCATGTTATCTTGACTACCATTACCTATTGAAGAGGCCAACACCCCATAGAAACAAATAACACCAATAACCTATTTAAATTCATTTGTTGACCTAAAGTAATTTTAACTTTATAAAGGTTCACTTTCATACAGCGCCCAGAATAATTCCTACCATGATGCAGGGTGAGAAGGCACTATGGGAGAAGGCCCTCGCCTTCCCAATACCTACATAGCTTGAGACGTAAAAACTAAGGAGACCACATGGGGAAACAGAATCTGCCTTCCTGCACGGTTTCTTTGATTTATTTTTTGTTTGAGTCCAAAAAAAAAGCAATGGCTAAAATTACTGGCGGTATGACTTACTGTGAGAGCTGTGGAGTTGGCAGTACAGTGAGTAGCACCAATAATGTACTCAAGACAATTTATGATTATTTTAGTAGAAGAAAACATATAAGGTCATAGATACTTACCCGCTTTGGTTTTCCATTCGTGACAGAAGAGTCAGTGTTGGAGGGCTCATTGGAGTCAAGGTGAGAAAATGGCCTTGCAGCTCCCCATGATTCAAGATACCGAGTCATCCTAACTGAAGGTCGAACCTTAAGGCCATCATTTACTCGGGGCCGAAGGATGTGATTGTTCTGGCTCCGACGTTGTTTGAACTAACAATAGAAAGCATAACACATAATATTAAAATCAATTAAAGGCAATACAACTGGCTCTATTGTATAACAAGGTAAAAACACAAGATGGATACATGGTTTATAGAATGTTGTACTAAAGACTATTTTGCTATCTTTTTATAATTCTGTGATAACAATTAAAACAGTTACACGATAAATAGATGATGCAAGTGCATTCCCTATGAAATGTCCATATCCCTATGAAATGCCACAATACTTTACATCGGTAAATCATATTAGCAAACTACAGATCTCAGCACACACGATGGCCCTGTGCCATGTTTGGATTTTCTAGGCAATAACCTACTTGGGGAAACAGCTGAATGCAAAGGTTGCTGAACCAGGAAATAAGAAAATCACCTGCCAAGTTGTGCAGTGTTATGGATAAGTGTAAATGCTGAAATTGGCTTAAAGCCCATTTCCACCTTTGCAGAGGTATTTTTTTTAAAACATATGCCAGCAATGTACACCGATGTATGCATGAAGCAGACATATGCAGCTGATGTATATGAACACAGGAACTTACATTTTTTGTTAGCTTTCCTCTTCATAGCCCCATGAAAATATCTGCCTCTTTGCTGTGCAAGAAATGTGGATAAATCCCCCCCCTCACCACCTCAGCACAGTGTATTGTGTTTAAAGGCAGAGCTGGTGTTTAGCAATCATGTTACAATGGGTGACAGGGAGGGGGGTAGCTGATTACAGATGACTGATTTTCCAGTGGAGAACATTTTTAATTTTTAGGCTTTAGGCCTAATAAAACCTTCATATAAAACGAAGAAAGCCTGCAATACGAGTCATAAAAATGTGCACATGTATACATCACATAATTACCACAATAAATGCTAATCACTTACAAAGGTGGAAATGGACTTAATAGAATTAGAAAATCTTTGGCAGCTAAAACAGTAAACATAATGGGGGAATTTATCAAAACTGGAGCAGACAGAATCTGGAGCAGTTGCCTAGGGCAACCAATAAGCATTTCTCTTCAGTTTGCTCAGGTAAGATTTGAAAATGAGACAGAAAAGCTGATTGCAAATCTGCTCCAGATTTTGTCTGCTCCAGTTTTGATAAATTCCTCCCACTGTATATGTATTTCAACTGCGTATTTAGCCATTTTCCTGCAGTTACACCTAAAGGAAAAAATCCAAGCAGGTAAAACATGTGTTATCAAAATTATGACGAACTCTAGTTTAGCTATAAAAACTTACACTTACCCTTGGATCAATGATAAGGTAAGTCTTAATGTTCATTTCCTGAAGATAAGGATCTCTTAATTCCCCATGTCCTTCTTCCACATTGTAAGCTCCATTCAAGTGTTTCAGTGTTGCTTCTGTGATGTGGACCCGACTAACAAAACAAGAAAAATGCCATATTTTCAAAAATAATGTGCCAACTGCACCTTATATTTTCCTTATAAAGCGGTGTCCAAAACTAGCCCATATGTAAGGGCTATATATGGGATTTACACAGCAGCAATACTATAACTGAACCTTGTTTCTTGCTAAAGACTATATTATTGTATATCATGCACTTGTATATCTTTCAATTAATTACACACAGTAGAAGTTAATATTTTTTGGTCTATTGTTTCCCATTTCCAGAGTTAACGATTCATAAAAATAGTACAGCATCAGCCTTTGTCTAACAGACTCGGTTTAAGGAGAAAAGTCATATTTAGTAGTCAATCAAATAGGCGTGTGTGACTGGAGATAACACCCAAGAGTCTGTATTATAATGGTAGACTTATTATACTTCATATGCACTAATATTGAGTACTGAGCTTTACTCAATATTATAATTAATGTGCAAATAATAGTTTGCTACACTAAGCTCTGCATTTCAAAGTGAAAATATAAAGAGAATTAAAACATGTAAATATAATTTAATTTGCACTGCACTGAAACATATCAGATAGTGGAGATATAAAGAATACATTGTATACAGAGCTGCTGGATGATAACTTTGGTAAAGTTAGGGGAACATTTTATTTTACAAATATCAAAACCTGCTTCTGTTCCTGGTAAATATTGGCATGCAGCACTGCTTCCTATAGCAAAAAGGATAACAGTCAACAGGCTTCAAAGTAGGTATTGCTGCTTGTCTGGTGTTCTAGATGATGAATAAACCATGGAATTCAATGGAGTCCAACAAAAGATTTTCTTCTTTATTACCAATGTTGTAATTAATGTGTAACATTTCTAAATGACACCCCTAACAAATCATGTCAATGTAAAACTAAGAAAATATTGCATCTCTGTGATGTTTCTTCCTGATGTTTGGATAGATATGTTGACGGAAACAAATGGCACCAGCGGGAACCAAGCTCAGAAATGGTAGCTGAAATATGACATGTTATGTTATTACACCCTCCAGCAGAAAGAACAGAAAATGAATAAGTCATTTACCTAACATGCTCACATTATGCACATTATACTGGATAAGCAGGCAGTTGGGATGAAGCTAACAGTGTGTATAGTCACAATGGTAAATGGTAAGAGCAAAAAAAGATCTGATACACACCTACTGAACAGGACAGTAACAATTCTAACTTCGAAATGTGACACTAAATCAAGTTAGACACAGTTTTAAGCACTGTCATGGCACTGACATTTAACAAAAGAGCAGTGAGAACCACTTGTATCCAGTTCTCAGTTCCCAAACCAGTCAGCCATATCATTGTTCCTCTGACTATTAAAACTGGATTTCAGGCATACATTACAAACATTTCATTCATCATTAAAGCTATTTTTGAACAAACTGAGTATAAGTAACATATTAGCTTCCAGGGATCACTCAAATCCCTCTGGACACCGAGTTGGAGGGGGAGGACCTCTGCTGCCTTTTCTGGTGTCTCCTATTTGTAAATACCTAGTTACTAGGGACAACATATCAGAATAAAACCCTGTCCATGTTTGCTTCAAAAGTACAACCACAGCAACTAATAAGTATAAACCCACATTCTATTAGCTGGCCTGATTATTTCACCTGTCAGTATGACACACATATAATGTAAGCTTTTAATATTTTGGATGTAGGGACATATGACAGCAACATGCATGTAAATGGCATGTTAGCAAGACAAACAACAAGCAGGCCTTTCCTTATAATAAGCAAGCCTGAGGCTGTTGCATCAGTCGGCATTCATTGGGTCACATGGGGGGAGGGCATAGGCAGGCAGAGCAGCATGGTCGCTCTGCTGCACAATATTTGCAGTGTGCTGGCTGCCCTTTTACAGCCAGAGTGTCCCAGGTTGCTAAGAGCCAGTCGGAGGTGTGTAAGGACCATACCCATTTCTGCGCCCATCTTTTAGCAGCCTGGGATGCTCTTGCCAGCTGCTGGCAACCAGTGACGTTAGTGAGCTGGGCTGGACACCAGCCAGAGCTGGAGCCAGAGCGGGCAGGTGAGATGATCCACCCCCCACCCCCACCAGCAACCTCCCCAGGTGGTGAATAGGCTACAGACACCCCTGCCAACAAGTACAATTTTACTCACTCTGTGTCATGTATCAAAGCAATAATACTAAAGCTATCCATTTACATACTACAATCTGATTGTACAGTCTTAGCTTGCAGAATCACCTTTAGATTTGCTAACATCTATGGGGTGCAAGGGACCACCTAAACAATCTAATCAATTGATGATATCTAACGGAAGTAGCAAAAATCTGATTTTACAAATGTGGCGAACTATCAACATTTCCCCACACTCACAAAATAGAATCAGACTGTCAGATCTACGTAAGTATAACCTGTAAGTTTGCATCTGATTGGAAGCATTGGGGAAATAAGAGTTATTAGGAGCAAATATTTTACATCACTGCTTCAATACATTCTCAAGGATTATTTTACCCTGGTACTCCTGCAGATTCCATACGATTAGCCAAGGAAACATCATGTGACCAAACATCAAACTGCCACTTTCGCAGCCCTATGACGCCACAAAGAACATTTCCAGAATGCACTCCAACCCTCATGTTAATGTCTGCTCCAGTGGCTTCTCTCACTTGCCTAAAAAGAACAACAAACAGCACATAATCAGGAAAAATCCTACAAGAAGCATGCACTGTAGATACAGCATCTAATGATATACTGTCACAGGTATCATTTATTTATTTATTATTTATATCATTGTTACAAATCACAGAACAGTTGGAAGTGCTGTGTAACTCAACACTCAAAAGATCAACATTCAGCTTTTTTACTGCTCTGAAAAATGCTTTTGTCTTAAAGGCTCAATATAATGGTAGTATGTCACTTTCAAACTGTGTTGTCTTGAGTACATCAAACTATTGGTTGCTATGGCGTAATGTTTGACTTATACTTAATAACATCCTAAATAGTCTACGGCAACAGGATCAAGTTATTTCCTTTAAAGTATTAACAGGTAAAACTATATGCCAAAAAACAAAATCAAATAGATTTTTTTTCAGATTTTAATAATATTTAGGTTTAGCTGGAAATGCGTAGATTTCTTCTAATCCCTCCATGTAGTAACATTGAGTATCCATCGCTATTACAACCCTCTTGTGAGCGCTGCACTGCTGACTGACTCTTAAATACAACCGAACCCATATAGCACCACTGGGCTTAATGGATGCATCTGTAATAGCAGGTCTCACCAGCAGATGGTACTGCTGGAGAAATAACTAATATTTTGGAGTAAACATGAGTGACCCTATTCATAATCTGTGATATGACAAAATGTCTTTGGATCAGTAGATTTATATATTCATATATTAACTCTCAATGTAACTTCCGTGTTGCATTCTCACACATGGTTTCGCAGATTTTTTCCAACTCTCTCCATTCCCATATATTAAGCTCTTATTCACAGGGTTAAAATACACTGGGTTATTGTTGGCATCTGCTAGATATTGTAGGGTTCTGTTATATATGGAACCATCTTCTTTAAGATCACATTTTCTTATTTTTTTCACAGACTTAAATAAAACAACCCGCATGGCAGGATTTCTCCCTACCAGAGTCCAGTATTCATTTTATTTTATCTTGATTTGTGTCCTCTTTCCATGGTTTCTCAAGTATGTGAAGACCTTTAGCACACATAGGAAGTTAGAATAAAATGTCCCTAACCTGTGACCTATCCCTAACAATAAAGCAGGCTCTAACCAACTCACTTTTAATCCTTAAAGCAACCCTGCTACTATTGTAAACAATGTTAAAAAGTCCAAGAGAGTTGGATGCTAACATTCCCTGCTGAGTTCAGTAGTTTCCTTTGGCAGCCCTTGGGTCAATGCAGGACATATTAATAGCATAGAGGTTGGTGGAAGGAACCATAATGCATTGCACAGGACCAGCGATTTGACAGACCCATGAGTGTGCTGTATGCTGAAGCTCTTTGAACAAGATTATCTGATCAACTAAGAGACTGGCAGAACAGGCAACCTTAACCCACTACCCATTGAACATAAACATAGCTTAACTTCACCCCTAAACTAATCCCCAACAATTATTAACCACTAAAGGTAAATGTTTTTGGCATCCAGCTTCAGGTTTCAGGCACCTGATACAATGCAGTGGAAATTTCAAGCGGACCTTGCATTTTAATAAGTGGAAATCCATTTTAGGTCATTGTTTCTGTCAATATGCATGTGAACATACTTAATTGCATCACACATGTCCAGCCCCATCTTGACACAGTTTTTAGCATTGTTGGGTAAAGACACTGGCAGACCAGAGACACAGTAATAACAGTCTCCTAAAATCTTGATCCTCATGCATTCATTTTCCTGTTAAGAAAAGAGAACAATTATTAGGATTTCAGTGTTGAAATTACAGCATTTTACATAGAAATCTAAGCTGTAAAGTTGATGTTGTGAACAACCTGGACAACAAACAGCAAATAAAAACATACTAGAATTCAGTGATAAAGAATTTAAATAAAATGATACAGTGTAAATAATGTACAAACACTTGTTTTCAATATAAAAATATTTTTGCCTTCTCAAAAACTACACCTATTAGACAAACACAAATATCATAAAACCATACATTGCTACTGTCCACTAACAAATAATAAATCATATTTGCCACTATGTACTGTAAAAATGTATGTACAGTAAAAAAAACAAAACAAAAATATAATACACCATTTATAACAATGATTTAGCTACTATGGTTTCATGCTATGATATAATTCACAAAAGGTGGCTGTTACCTTTAATTCCAAACTTTTACTTTTGGAAGAATAAATAATTTAACCCATTTTTTTTTTACTGCAATATTTGTGTTATTACTTTAAGTGTGAATAAATTGATTTACCCTTTTGTACTTTATCTGACCATTTGTTTTCATTAGCCTGTTTAATGTGTGGGTGTTTTGTGTTTAGTCTAATTCAGTCAACATCTCAAGTTAATTTGTTTTCAGAATTATTTCCTGAAGCATTGTTTAAACTATGAGTGAGTTGCAACCCTGACTCCTATTTTATCCTGAATTAGCCTGGTAATATCCTGTCATGTTAAATGTGCTGTAGTTGTAAATATAATTGCAAGTGAATTTTATGGGAAGGAAATGGAACAAATACCACCCACAGGAGGGAAGCCATACCACACTAATCTTTACTGGAGAAAAAATTGCATATGAAGGTTTTTTTTTAACCTGCATACAGAAAATAGACTTCAGCAACGCAAACATTGTAAAAAGAAGTCTAAACGGAAAAAGAGAAACGTTATTTATTTAAGTAGGAATGATTCCAATTATTTCAGAGAACATTGGATGTAACAAAGGTCTCAATTTAGAAGCAAGTCAAAAAGAACTAATGTTTTGGAAAAGTGTATTGATATTAACAATACAAATGTTATTATAATTATTATTGCCATTTACTATGACAAAAGGTTTGCAGACAGGCCAGCATTGATACAAAAATAATTTGGGAATTTTCTTCAAAACCATATGGGGCTGGGACAACAAGATGTGTATTATTGGAATACATTCAAAATCAAACAACAGGGGTGCAGAGAAGCACTGATGGCAAGTGTTCCTCTTGGTAGTGGCAAAACCCGGTTGTTTAAACACAAATATGTTTACTGTATCTAGGTAATTTAAGCTACATCATTTTCAACCATTATATTCTGGAACCCAAACTCTTTACATGTCACACTTGTATCGAACATTTTCAAATGCAAGACAGCTTGAGCAGTTTGCTCAGGAAGAGTGGGTCAAACTACCTATTGGCAGGTGCAAAAGTCCCGGTGAGCGCTGTAGAAAGTGCATGTTTGCAGTGATTGCCTCTAAAGGTTCTGCAACAAAATATTAGGTTAAGGGCCCCATCATTTTTGTTCATGCCATGTCAAATATTAAGTTCAATCAAAAATTAAAAGTAAAGTTTGATATTGAAAGATGATTTTTTTAAAGATGTTATAAATACGGAATAATCAATAGTGGATGCCAATTATTTTGGTCATTCTCAAGTTATTTCATTAATTTGTGGGTTCTTGTTTTCTGGAAGGATACCAACACATTTGTCCATGTCTGTATATTCTTTAACTTTTGTTCCAGTCTGTCTGTTTTTTACAATATGGCATTTTTACATGGAGCAGCATGGGGCTACCTAATAAGTGGACCCTGCATTTTGATGCAAAGTCCACTTTAAAAAGGAAATATCACTCATCTATTAACGCTTGAACGTTTAGCACTAAACAGTAGTATAGTAAATGTATGACCAAAGAATAACATTCACCAACCCACCAGCAGTGTCCGAACTATGGAACTTTCATAAATTGTGGTTATTATGGATCTGAACTGCCAAGGTAGAAGATTGGTTGTTCCATAATTCATTAGAAATTAAAAAAACAAATGCACAGAGTACATAATATTTAACAAATATAAAAAACTGAAACCAAAACGTATTCTACTGGTTAGAAATTAATTCTCAGATTGAGAAAACAGTATCGAAATGTCAATTTTTCTTGCTCTGTTATGATCCAACAAGGTAACCTCACATACCTTCATGACCATGGTATAAAGTTGCATCAGATTCTATTATATTAGACAATACAAACTATGCTTTGGCTGTGGACTGTTATAGCAGATGTTTTAAATGCCATTAAAATTTCTGTTACATATACTGAACTAGGAGATTTAAATCTTTATTTTTGGACAGAATTCCAGAAGGCTTTGGGGTTGATTAACTAAAGAAAAATAGGCTGTTCACTTGGCAAGGGAATTTTCCCTTAGTTTAGTGAATGTGGTGAAAATTCACTTTGCACAAAATACCCTTGATTGGATGATGGAAGTCAGCAGAGCTTTACCTAATTTACTGAGATGAGAGAAAATTCCCTTGCAAAATTAAAATTTCCTAGCAAAATAAACAGCCTATTTCCCTTACGTAAGTCAACCTGTCGCGTCAGATCATGGCTCTTAATTATAGAACCTGAAAAGTTTACCAAAAGCTAAGATTTCCAGCCCACAACTACCTAACTATCCACTGTCAAACATGCAGATTGAATGGACTGATTGGACTGTCAAACATTTGCTCTTAATTGCAAAGCAGAATGGAAAAGAACTGTATACTTTTCGCAACAGAGCACTGGAAAACATTTATTAATTTTATATCATACCAAGCTCAGCTACTAATGAGCCAATGGCTGACATGATGATAGGCAGCCAGCTGCAACTCTTTTTATTTTACAGGCAGGAGATCTGAACCATAAATAAACTACTGTTTCCTCAGGTACATTCTAAATTACAAGCTCCTGGATTTTACCTGGTACAAACTGCAGACAGTGATGTGTGCAGAAGGGGAGAAGATGATGGGTAAAAAATAAACCCATCCCTACATTTGAAATGAGTAAAGAAGGACAACCTGCTAAGTGAAGAGAATCTGGTGGATAGACCAGATCTTATCGATCTACTTAGCGAGTACCAGAAGCAAAATTTGATTCTCCAAAACACTACTGTACAATATACTGTGCTGTATAATGTGGTTAATAGCTATGTCATAATGATCTCTATGCATTTTCCCTACTTAGAAGGTTCTTTTAAAAGAACACACTACGGTGAACACTAGAAGCAGCCATTGTCATCTGGGTCTTTGCATCAGTGCAGCACAGCCATAAGCTCATGAGTATGTGACCTGGTTTTCGCATGACATACTGTACGTAAATTTCTGTACTTAGTTGGGAAATATAGTTCAAGTACACTCTGATTTGCCATTGAAAGCAATTGTTTGACAATTTAAGCAGTGTTTTTCTTTCCAATCTGCCTGTTTGACTGTGGATCGTTGAACCAAAATACATACGCTAAAAATCTTAGGCTTAGTATTCAAATTCTGTGGTCTGACACCAAGGGGTTGATTTACTAACCTTATAAACACGCCATGAACAAGTATACACCTCTGTAGTGTGTTCCCTCCCAGTATGATCTATTGGTGGAATCTAGACACCTTTGTAGTGTGTACACACCCAGCAGGTGTGTTGTGCAAAGCCCTCCATGAATTGCAAGGTGATGTTGTGTAAATTAGCTCTACATTGTGTTGCTTGCGTTGATGAATGCAGGAATGTAAATGCATGAGCTAACCATTTTTGTCTAAACTGTGAAGCAGCATTATATATGAATCATGTGCATGGTTTTTCCATATATGGCATTAGTGGAAATATGCTTTTAGAGACTTTTTGGTTGATAAATACGTTTTGCTGTGTAAAAATCACACGCACCTAGTGCGTGCGTGTGTTTAGCTTAGTAAATCACCCCCCAAGTCTTCTGGAATTTTATGTCTAGAAAAAAAAGCTTTCAGTTTCTCCATTGATTGAATGTAACTGTGTTTTTAAAGGTTCCATTACTGATGTTGATTTGTTCAATCTGACAGCATAATTTAAAAACATTTTTTTCCAGTTTTAACATAATAGGCAAGGGGTTAGAACCTCTGCCAGGTTTTAAATTGTTGTCTTTGTCCCCACTGATGAGATTCATCCTCCGTTCTGGTGACAACCGCCACTGGGACTGAAAGTGAGAGAAATCTAAAATTTCAAGCCATCATCTGAACAGAAATAGACAAAAAATATTCCAGTGGGTACACTTGTTCCAAAGACAATCATTTAAAATAATATTTCCCTCACTTTGGAGATATTTACTCTCGCTTCCTGTTTTTACAGGTTAGAAAGTGGAATAAAGAAGGGAATCTCCCTAATGGGATTTTGAACAGGATTTTGAACATACTCTCTAGGCACAAATAGAAAAAAAAACATTGGTTTAGAAATACTTTATTGTTTCGGCATCCTGATTAAGGTTGTGGCTGCTGCCACTTAGTTATTCTTGTTAGTTGTTAAATATACATATACACACACAGAATATATACACACACACATACACACACACACACACACACATAAACACACTGTTAATGCAGCAAGCATGTCTTCTGTGTCCTGGCTATCAGCAGATACAAGCACAGAAAACATTACATTACAATATTATATGTTTAATTAAACATACAGTATCATTTATGTCCCTCATTTAATGGCAAATAAATTCAATTTAACCCACAGTTTAAAGACATGTGTTCAGCCAGTAATGCAATATCCTCAAAATTAAATTATAAAGCAGTGCTTCACCTTTGCTATTTGGTCAAACTTTCCAAACAACTCATTCAACATAACAACGAGTTCTTTGGGTGAGCAGTCACTGGCAAGTCGAGTGAATCCCACGATATCTGCATAGAGGATGCTACACAAAGATAGAAGAACCAGATATTAGTGAACGTGTAGACAAAAACAACAGTCAGAAGATTCAATAACTACAAAATTGTTCTTAAAAATGTTTGTAGAACTTACATAATGAAACTGGACGAGCATGTCTGTTTATGCCCTGTGCAGACACCACCAGCATCAGACTTGTCTCTAATGAACAGTAGTGATTGTCCAGGAAAACCATACCAGACTATTGATTCTGCTCCCAATGCCAATCAGTAGAGCAGTGTCCGCAGAGGCTTGGGTTGGCCCACATAAATCTGACCATTATTGACTGGATCATGTGATGATTATCTTAAGTCAATGGGTAATTTAAGCCCACATTCACACCATCTTACCTGAAGCACAACATCACTCAATATGAAGAATTCCATTATTTTCGATGGTGCCTGTTCACACCAGCTTCGTTGCTTGAAGCATTAAAAGCACATGGGCTTCTTTTGTGGCGGAATCATGCTTTTTTGATCCCACAGAGTTCAAGTAGAGCAAATGACTGATATATGCACATACCGCACATTTTTTTTTGCCCAAAAACTATTTTCCATTGGTTAAAACAGAAAAGCTAGTGGGGGAAAATACTGGAAAAAACATGCAAAAACGCTTCTAAATCACCTAAAATACTTTCATCTTAGGTGTGAATGGGGGTTAATATGTCCTAAAACCTGTAAAGTTAATATTTTACATACCTGACATTCTGATGCCGCTTCACGTACAGACTGTGGAAGTTTTTGTCTGGTTGATGAATGTCATTGGTTTCCTTTAGTCGGTCCTGAATAGCTAACTTCATTTCCATCGAGATATAGACTGGAAGTACAGACAGCAGTAGGCTCTCCTAGGAAGGGTGTCAGGTATGGGAATTACAATGAGTAATGCTTATTTCACAGTATGCATTACTGAGAAATAGTTGTAGGAGTGAAAAGTGGAAAGGAAGAGGAGATGAGAAACAGAAGAACGAAAAAAGAATGAAAAAAGAATTAAGAAACAAGAGTAGATGAAGTGAACATAGTTTTGACAATGCCGATATGTATACAATAATAATAGAGGGTTTGACGAGGAGGGACTTTTTAAGATTTCAAACCTTTTTAATACAAAAGTAATGGGATAAAAATGCTCATGTTACTGATGTTTTATGAATTAGTACATTTATTATTATATCAAGCATAAAGGAGAACTATGGGGTCAGTGTTTTTCCCCATAGTTCTCCTTAGGGTAACGGGAGGACACAAACTAGCGTCCTCCCGTCACCCTAAGCTCAGTATACCGCGAGCTACAGCTCGCGGTATACTGAGACGCCACAGCGGATCCCGACGTAGATGACGGGATCCGCCCAACTGCGTGAGTGACAGCTGGCTCTGCCTATCTAGAGGCAGAGCCAGCTGTACCCGCCCCCTCCCCCATCCGTCCCGCCAGTCAGCGCTGGCAGATCGGAGCGGGGAGAGGGGAATCCAGCCCTCCCCCTGTCACGGCAGAGAGCCGTGACAGGATCGAGAGGTGAGCGAACCTGGTATGTCTTCGCTCACCTCCCGATCTACTGAGCTGACCTGTGACAGTCTCATTGTCACAGGTCGGCTAGAACTATGAGGTGAGTGGAAATCACTCATCTCATAGTTCTCCTTTAAATGTATAGTATCTATTAGATTGTGCATGTATTGTATTTTAGGCATGTTAAACACCCAGTGGTGTATTTTGGTTTTGTGCTGCCCAAGCAGGACTAAACTCTGGCACCCTTCCTAATCTAAATTTGCCCCACCCCTTCCTGTTTAAAGGCACATGGCGTAACCTGTCAGCTGTGTCCAGCTTCTAACATGTTGCGCTATTAGCGTAGTGGGGAAGCCCGCTGTGAATTTAGCTTATCCTGTCAGAAGCTGGATACAGCGGGTGCCTGTTTAAATAGTAACAGGCGCACACTATCACTTCTGCCAGTGTCAGAGAGAGAAGGTGGATTTGGGTAAGGATAATTTTTTTTCCCTTAATGCCTCTACCACATTGGTGTATTTTGCCGCCCCCTAGAAAGTGCCGCCCAGGGCAAATGCTTAGTGTGCCTTGCGGTAGATACCCCTCATTATATACCTGTAAAAGCTTCTGCAAAAGCACTGAGGCTGCCTCTTAAAGGTGATGTCAGCATACCCATCAGACTCAAAGCAGTGAGAATAGAGGTAAGGGGCGGGTCAAACATGATATCAATAAAAAAGTAAATAGAAACTGATTTTATAAAAAACAATCCTCTTTTTAGATTGTGGAAAGGGGTTATGCTGCAAAGTTTTACTTATCTGGTGCCGTGTCATCAGGGGGCTGGCTGCAAGAGACAGCTGGCTCCCAATGATGAAAGGAACTAAGATGGTGGCGCAGAACAATTCATGCTGCAGAAGAGTGGCAGAGTAGAAAAGGACAAAGTAGGATGCCTTGGGCTTGCGAGTGTGTTTTTCCTGCATCAAAGAGCATCTGCCACAGGCGGTGATTTCAGCAAATAATGTGGAATTGTTCAAGAAACTTTTGGACGATTTCTTAAGGGACCGTAATATACAGGGGTACGGGTACTCCTAGAATGAGATCCTAATAGGTTGGACTTGATGGACTAATGTCTTTATTCAACCTCAAATACTATGTAATATGCACTATGTAAAGGTAAGAAGTAAATCGGGGATGATTTTTTTTTAGGGACATGGCTGAAGTTTCTTGTAAAGAAACACTCCAAGAAAAATGTAAATAACCCTTTCTACTGCAACCTCGGATCCAGCCAGCTGTCATAGCGCTCCTTCCAGCCCCTCTCCACCCACTCTGCAGAGATGGTATGTCCTATACCATGTCAGTGTCCTCACATCCTCTACACTGTGTATTGAACGTGATGACTCAGGGACCCAACACCGCTGCAGCAGAGGGGGAGAGATGCTGGAAGGAAAAGTCTAAGAGCAAGCCTGCTCAGAGGTTTGGGTGAGTATATATTTTAGTCGCTAGACCATAACAAGCAGTTAACCCTTGCAGTGTGGGGGTAGCCCCCCTGCAAGCGTTAGGAAAAACATTTCCTGGAATGTTTCTTTCAGCATATCAATTTCAGGATACCGGCAGCTGTATATTAAATACTTGTAAATTATATACTTTTCACATTAAATTTAAAGGAAAGCTTAAACATTTTTGGCTAGAGAAGGATCATCCATAATTATTTTACAGTTTTCTGCTGGTTTAACATTATAATGTATGTACTGTAAACTGTGCTATGCTTGTGTGAGCAATAAACAAAACACACTCTACTATGCTGACATTTGCATTTTTTGATATAAAGTTTCCAAGTAGTTTCCATCCAACCATTTTCCTGGCCTGCCTTTTTCTCTGGAGGGTGGTTTTCTATGGGAAAACATTCAAGAATCCAACCCACATATCCACAACAACCAGGCACTGGAGAGCCACCATGAGTTACATGGCATTATGCTCTTTACCAACAGTAGCAGCTACAAGAAAAGGTAGGCTGGCTGGCAGAGGCAGGTGTTTTTTCTCCGGCTGGTGCTACTATACAACCATGGAAGGTCTTTAAAGGAGAACTATGAGGTGAGTGATTTCCACTCTTCCTCATAGTTAGAGCCGACCTGTGACAAAGAAGCTGTCACAGGTCGGCTCTATCGATCGGAAAGTGAGCAAAAACAGTCCCAGATCCGCTTACTTCCCGATCGTCTCCCTGCAGTGAGCGGTGACTGCCAGTCACCGCTCCCCGCAGGGATTCCCCCCTTCCCTCTCCGATCCTCCAGTGCTGAGTGGAGGAACAGATGGGGGAGGGGTCGGGCACAGCTGGCTCTGCCTCTAGATAGGCAGAGTCAGCTGTCACTCACACAGCTGGGTGGATCTCGACAGTATTGTCGGGATCCATCCCAGCTGCGTTGGTCTCAGTATATCGCGGGCAATAGCCCACAATATACTGAGCTTTGGGTCACAGGAGGAGTTAGTAAGTATGGAAAAACACTTAGCCCATAGTTCTCTTTTAAGTACTGACCTCCTTTGTGCTCCAATTTGACCTGTCATATGACCAGTGCAGAGGGGAGAAAAGAATGCAAGTCCAGAGATATGAGATTCTGTAAAGCGGATTGTTTTTTCTTGGTCCTGATGCCTGTCAGGGGTCTGAAAAAGATGTGCTTCAGGATGGTGCTGGGTTGGCAATTCTCCATCGCTTTTCAGATCTTTGTCAGAGCAGCAGCAGCAAGAACAACCCTTTAACAACAACAACAACATACCTAAAAAGCATTCCCAGTCCAGTGTTCAATAGAGTGAAGTGAAGCAAATGCACCCTGATAGAGGTCTCATAAAATTTAGTGTTATCAGTGATTGAAGGAGAACTATGGGGTCAGGGCTTTTCCCCATAGTTCTCCTTAGGGTAACGGCAGGACACAAATTAGCATCCTCCCATCACCCTAAGCTCAGTATACCGCGAGCTGTAGTTCGCGGTATACTGAGACGCCGCAGCTGAAGCGGATCCCGACAATTATGTCTGGATCTGCCCAGCTGCGTGAGTGACAGCTGTACCTGCCCCCTCCCCCGTCGGTTCCACCAGTCAGTGGGGAGGGGGGAATCCAGTCCCTCCCCTGTCACGGCTCTGTGCCGAGACAGGATCGAGAAGTGAGCGAACACCGGTATGTGTTCGCTCACTTCGCGATCTACTGAGCCGACCTGTGACAGTCTCATTGTCACAGGTCGGCTAGAACTATGAGGTGAGTGAAAAGCACTCACCTCATAGTTCTCCTTTAGGCTGGGTTCCCACCTAGGCGTTCGAAATATGCGTGTATGACGCGCGTTTTGCGGTGCATGTTTTAACCGCGATTTGAAGCCCACAAAACGTGCGTTAAACGTGCGTTTACGAAGGCTATCCGGCTGTATCCTAATGGATACGCACGGAAATACGCCCCAAAGAAGCTCCTGTACTTCTTTGGGCGTAGGGCGTTTTTTCAGCACGTTTCGACACGCTGAAATACGCCCAAGTGAGAACCATGCCCATAGGAAATAATGGGATTTCACTTGCAGGGCGTTTTACAGCGCGCCGATCAGCGCTGTAAAACGCCCAGGTGTGAACCCGGCCTTAATGGTTCTAAAATTATTGCTCTCACTCCGTTTGCGGCGATATGCAACATGTGCGGCGCGTAGGCGCACCTGACGCATATATGCGTGTGTATTAGGGGGGTGCGGACTTAACAAAAATGTTTTACAAAATAAATGTTATGCTTCTATACATACAACTTTATTGCTATTACATGGGGGGCTAAGAAGCCCCCTATGGGATAGCCAATTTAGATGACAGGTCCTCTTTAGGGAGACATCAGGGGTCTCCAAGACCCCTAATGTCACCTAGGGACCTCCAGAGAAGCTGATGAAGCAGAGATCGGCTTCATCAGCTTCTCTAGCTTTAGAGTGACACTGAATGCAGGAAGTGATGTAATCTACATCACTTCCTGCATTCGGGGACTGAGATATCAAAGGGAGTTCGTATACTGAACTCCCTTTGATCTCCTGTCACAGAGCCGTGCCAGTCCCGGCGGCATCGGGTACAGCGGATCTCGGGACCGGCAACAGCATTGACAGCTTCTGATACAAACGATCGAGACGCTCGATCGCTTGACTGTAAAGCTCCTTATGACTACAGTTGGAGGATTGTTGTAGGTGATTGCTAAAGAAATCAGTTTTATTTTGTCTCCAGCAATTGCTTAGAACATTCTTCCTACTGTAGTCACAGGTAAAAAAAACAAATTTTAAAAAAATCTCAAGGTCACTGCACTGCCCAGGAGGTGTTACCACTATGAATATTGATGACATGTCTTTGGCTTTATTCTTTAGAATATTCCTTTTTTTCTTTGCTATGGTCAAGATCAGACTGGCATTTCACTATTTGCAAACGTATTTGAGTTATATGGCTAGTTAATAGTGTAAGAGAGGACGAAAGCTTTATCCCAGATTATCTGAATGGCATCCCACGTATGCAAGGTTTGCAGCCATGTTGTTAAATTCCCCCCAGCAACACTCAACAGTTTGTGCAACAGCAGAGCTGCTGTCAGGTAAGGTGTTCATGTTGGCAATTATGGAAAAGGTGTTGCTTGCTAGTACAGATATTGGTTGAAGCCAGAGTGGGCTGATTTGAAGGGGTTATGCAGACATCTTTGGGGTAGGGGGGTCATTTAAGCAGAATAGCATCACATAACTTTGTCACAAGAGAGTAGGTAATAATTATGTTCAAACGTGATGCTGAAAGTATACCAATGCTTATGAGGTTATCAGAGTGAAATGGTTATGTTTTTTCTCAAGGCAGCCTGTAACTGCAAATGGCACAAGCTAGCTGGTAGCAGGAGCTAAATGTAGTTACTTTGGAGTGTAAATACATTAGATTGTAAGCTACTATGCGGGTTCACGCAGTCTTCAGCCTGTATAAGAGCAGTGTGTTCAGCAAGCTTTAAGTGCCAACTATCACTAAAAAAGCTGCTAACCTGCTTCATCAGGCTTTTACAAGCCTCAAGTAGTGCTGCATACTAAAGCCTGCAAGCAGCTTGTTTAAAGTGACAGCCAGCACTCTCATTAAGATCTGTACTTAACCTGCCCAAACAGCTTATCAGTTCTAAGCTGTAGTGGCTGCAATAAAAATTTTATTCAGACTAAGAACATTTTAGCAAACAGAAAACACCTATTGATTGTGCCAGAATAACAGTATCCTTGTCACTTCCTGTGAGCTAAAAAGACATCACAAACAATGTTATCTCTCTTTTGTAAACTTGAAGTCCCATTAATCCACCATACAATAGAGATGAACAAAGGCAGACATGTTTGAAGTCCAGTCTGTATGACAACCATGACTCCTATCATAGATACACTGAAGGAGTGAGGGTACCCAGCCAGGGATAGTAAGTGTGTTCTTTGCAGGACTATCAGGCTAAAATAAAGGGAAAAAGCCTAAAAAAAGATAACTAGTATGACATCTTCTAAGTCCTGTAGGCTGCAGTATATTAACATTTTGTTTTTGGTAAGCTGCTCAAAGCTTGCTGAAGACTTTGCAAATGTATTGCAAAAGGTTGCTGTGCACACTATTTGAACACAAGCTGAAGCATGTGTTAACAAGACCTTACAGTGTTATGTAATATGACATTTATTTATGGGACATATGCAATGTCATGTTTTTGTTAAAAACATAAGTCAAAAAAAGAAATCAAATATCTTACCTGTTGCCTCTTTTGCATTTCAAGTTTCATCTTTACTCCAATACATTTCACAGTATATCTGTAAAGGTCTCTGGAGGCATCTAGCATGTGGTACTTGTGGAAAGCCCCCATCAGATTTCCACATATGAATATAATAGCATTTGCAATAAGCTGGAAAAAACAGTAAAACAATATACAGAGATAAGTTAACACTCTAAAAACATATGACGTCACTTAAGGTACTCACGTCACTTAAGGTACTCAAAGACATGATTCTTATTCCATAGATTAAGATCCTTATTCCACAGATTATAACAAACACTGCTAGCCAACTATTCTTGGGGAACTTAGCAACAGACCCTGCTGGGTATCTATGGTTGGCCAAAGCAATTTCCCCAACCAATATGACTGGAGCCAAGAAATATTGTATCTTCTTGTTATCTCCACTCTTTTCTTGATAGGTACAATCATTGGTGTGCCTAAAGCTAGAATCAGGGCTACAGCATTTTCTAGTCAGCAATAGTGATGAGCCGAACGCCCCCCTTTTCAGTTTGAATTCGAACATGGAAAGAGTTTGAACTCGAACTCAATACAAGTCTATGGGGGTAGAACTTTGACAATCAATTGACACCATTTTGAAGGCTTATATGCAAGTTGATGGCCATAAAAAAGTGTATGGGGATTCGGGTATTGCCCTGGGGGACAGGATCAATGGAAAAAAAACTTAAAAAATTTAAAGTAGCACTGGTTTTAACATCACTGAAAAATCCCTTTAAATATCATGCCTGGGTGGGTCCCCATAAACTGCCTGTAAAGTGGCACATCTGTACAATGGTCTGGTAGGAATGTTAAGAGGGGCACCATTTAAAAAAAAGTGTGGTGTTCCACCAAAAAGTCATACCAGACCCTTAAGGTCTGGTAGGAATTTTAGGAGGGACTCCATGTAAAAAAAAAGTGTGCGGGGTTCCCCATTAAAGTCATACCAGGCCCTTAAAGTCTGGTAGGAATTTTGAGGAACCCCTCCCACAAAAATGGGGGGTGGGGGGGATGTGGGATCTGCCGCAGAATGGCATTTTGACAGATGCTGTTAACAAACAATTGGACGGAGCTGGCTGTCACTGCTGTTACAGTTGTAACAGGTGAGCCATGATTGGGCAAAGACATCATGACTTTGCCCAATCATGGCTCTAACAGAGTACTGGGGCCTGATTGGGCAAAGTATTGCACCTGACCTGTGGTCAGGTGCAAGGCTTTAGCCAATCAGGGCTCACAAGGCACAGTGCCTTGCGGGCCGCTCGGCAGGCGAATAGCCCGCAAATAGCCCGCTGTTCAAGTCGAACTCACGCTCAACTTTAAAATCAAGCTAATCTCTAGTCAGCAATCTGATTCAGTCTGTATCCAGTAAGACAAGCCCTTACATTACATAGTTGTTGGTAGTTCTAAAGAGGATTTTACAATCAGATTGTAATATATGGAGACAGCATTAGGAAAGCATAGATCTCAGAAGGAGAAATGCCTTCAGAACTGAGGCCAGGGAACCAAAGTGCCTTATACTGGTTTTGCTATAACTGGTTGGACCCTCTAACAAATAGCAATACCTCAAGCTACAATTGTGCAAATGAACGAAAGCAGGAACAAGAAAAAGAGGATACAAGCTCAGCTAATAACCACATCAAACAATAGAAGTCCTTGGTTCATTTTCTAAAAAAAAAAGAAAAGAAAACCTTAAAGGTTCCACCTTGCAGTACTTGGGTACTTGGTTACAATCTCCAAGACACTATCTGCATGAAGTTTGCATGTGCTTGTGTGGGTTTCTCCAGTTTCCTCCCACATTCTAAAGATATGCTGGTAGGTCAACACATGCCTTAGGGGAGTGTAGAACTTGACTTGCTTTTGAGTTGAATAGATGCATTTGGCAACCTTCGCAAGTTGCAATGCTTACCAAAACGTCAGAGGCAAAATCAAAATCATGGCAAAGTGACAGTGATGAAAGTGATCCATGTACTAGACCGTCCACTATTCATGTAAAGAACAGGCATTTGCTTTGCAAAGCCTTTGGAAAGTTTTGATAATGCAAAGCAAATGCCTATTCTTTATGCTCTTGTGAACAAGGCCAGCAGGCTGTCTGTGTGGCTGACAAACTAATTAACAAATGATATAAAAGAAGAAGCAAGAATTTTGTGCATACAGTATCGACTACGCAAAGGATTTTGGGACCACCTGTAGATTGCTAGTATATAAAAACCTCTGGTCTAGTTTGGTTATGTTACGTAATCTCATATTGTAATCAGGTCATATTTTTTTCAACCCCAAACCTTTATTCACATAACAAAAATGCTGACTGTTTTACATGTGAATTTGTGAAGACTGTTCTCTGTAAATCTATTATGGAATTACCACAATGTGCTAACAAGACTAAAGTGCAGAAACATACCTCTAGCTCCCTGGGATCCATTAAACCTGAGGCAAATCATAACACATGTTTTGAAAGCAAAGTCCTAATTGCCACCCATCCACCTCCCTCACTTCAATATTGGCCAGTGGACTCTACATTTAGAAACCACCAGTGAGCTGTGGGAATCAGAACGGAGTTTACTTATGGCAGCCTAACCTGAGATTTGTATAATTGAGTGCCCTGGATTTATCAAGATATCCAGAGATATGTGCAGGCACTAATACTGCATATGTCTGGTTCACAATTCACTCTATAGTATTATTAAACTCTCCAACTTTTATGCATGGAATGCAAAGTAGTCATCCAGGGAAACATTCGCCAGAAAATTGTTAGCTGCATATCAATGCAAAAAAACCCCTACATTTAGTACTCCCTAGTACTGCAGGATCTAGGTCTTCGGGTGCAGCTTTCCCAAAATTTCTGTTGGGGAGCACGGTCCATCAATTAGCTTGGAGGAAGGATGAGGCAGGAGCAGGGGAGAGGGTTGCTGTGAGGATACGAGTTTATATTGACAAACAGAGCATGCAAGCATGCAGCACTCTAGTCACGGCCAGGAGCATGCATGCAAGGGTGGCTACATAGGACCCTGGTAAGGGAAATAGCCACCCTGAAACTGGAAAGTTGGTCCAGGATTGAGTGGACCAGCTAAATCAGGAGGATAACAAAACTTCAACAGCTCAAGAAACAGCATACAAGGTAAGTGTTCACTTCTCCACTAGAAATAAATAAATAAATTAAAGGCTTTAATATCACTTTAAGAACATGGATATGTGATAATAGGTACATTTTAAATAAATGCTTGTGAAACACTGACTAAAAGTATTACAATATCAGTATTTGATTTTCATATTTTCTCCTTCATAAATAGGCAACTCATTATTGATATTGGTGTTTGCTATTCTGTGGATCATGTAGATTGCATTTTGATGAACCATGAATCCTTTGTGGATGTAGCTAAGCAAAATTCAGCCAGTCTTTGAAATGGTCGAATTTAGGAACTGTCCAAGCCCGTTTAAGAAATCTGAATTTCAAAAATGACTCATGATTAATGCCCCCATTGGCTTCTGTCTTAAAGGGATATAAATCTCTTCAAAGCAAGCTGTATAAAACTCAGCACTTAATTACTAAACTACCGTAAGCCTGAAATTCATTTCATTCATGTTACATTCCACACATGAAGAGTGCAGACTCAGCAAAATAATAACACCCTGATTTACAATAGAATGATAGGTAAAGGCAATTTGGTAATATTAAGATTCTGCCTATGTGCCCTATATATACATTTTATAAATACATTTGATAATACAAGAGATATTTAGACACCGTCTAAGAACAAAATTGTAGGCATCTGACTACTAGTTGTATTTGCAAAATCCAAACTACATGTAAAACTTTTTAGAAGCAGGTATTCTTACTTCACAGGGGACAGAGCACTTCCCATTGCCTTTGAGTGCACAATTTTGAATTAAAAAAACATCTTGAAAATCTCAGCTGTAGAGATATGTTCAGGTAAAGTCTATGTTCCTTTGTTATTTTAATATACCAGATAGTCGATGGGCTTAGATTTGCTAGTGCCGCATAGTTATCAGCTTGATATGACTAACTTTAATACTGTGTGCTAAAGCTACTGCAAAATGTTAACCTTGCAGTGGGGCCTTTTATGCAGTGCATGGGTTAAATGCTCTTTTTATCTAGATGATGAATAAAAGAAATTGAATTACTTACCTATTCCTTGCTCCTGCAGGCTTCATCGGCACTATATGATCAGTCCCCCAAACCCTCTTCTCTTTGTGTCCACTGGTCACATCTCTCTGACATCATCACGTACAATGCAGGACCAACAATTCTGTATTAAACGTGAGGACGCAGAGGGCCAACCCACAGCCGAGAAGCATTTAAAAAGAGTAGAAGAGTGCCAGTTGCATGAGGAGCAAGGGATGAGGTATTTCACCTTATTCATCATCCCTTAGACAAAACTACCGCTTAAAACAATACAGTGAAGCAAAGAAGTGGGGAGTTGGCTGCATGAAAGTCATATTTGCTAAAGACATATTCTTGGTTGCACATTAGTATTCCCTCGTACAAGGCAAGTTATAGGTCTGCAAGCTGGAAATAATGCATTTGACGGCAGACATCTTATTTCAGCAGTTTGTTTAGCAGGAAGGTCACATGGCAGTAGTAAAATGCAGTGCATACGCGAAAACTGTTTGGATATTTGTATTTGGTCAATAACAAAAATATGAAAAAAACAAATCGTAAAAATATGAAAGCCACATACAATATTTTACAGTAAACACTGCAAAAACATTTTAAAATGAGTGTCCATTGAAAATACATCATTATTTCTCTTTAACCTATTGTTAAAATACTACACAAATGACAACACTGTAGAAAACGTGGTTGCTTTATGTTTCCAGAAGTCTCAACCTGTAGCTAGTGGTTGTTCCTGGTTTGTGTGCAGTGTTAACTCCCTGTATCCAGGGTAACTCCCTTAATCAATTAGTTATTCCCTGTGCATGTTGGTTGTACGTCCAGCAGTTGCTCCCACTGTCCAAGGGCTGCATTTTTCCCAGTGCTTATTTTCTACATCCCATGGTTGCTACATTCCATGTGTCCAGTGGTAGGTATTCTTGTTTTCTGTGGCCAATTTTCTGTCCGCACATTCCCTCTCCTTTCCTTCCCATGCAGTATGTATTGTTCCCTTTTTCTTAGTAAT